GGAAGAAATATTTGTATATATGTAGGTGAAAAATAGATATTGTGAAAGTGAATAATTTCTACGCCAATGAAGGCAGCGGTCGATGTCATCGTGGGTATGCCCTATGGATAATAGAGTCCGCGACTTTAATGGACTCGCTAATCCTCTTCTCTGTTTGTCAGAAGAGAGAGCAGGGCCACCCCTAAATATAGACATTCAGACGACAATGAAGTGAAATCTCGGATAGGCGGGGAACCATGAGTAGAGAGAGAGAGAGAGAGAGAGAGAGAGAGAGAAAACGGGGGCTGAGTTAAGTATAATTTTACGCGGGATGAACATACACAGAACAGGATATATGAGAGAGAAAGAGAGAGAGAAAAATTGAATGGTGGGGGTGAATCTCCTGCACCACATTCAAGGAACGTGTTGGCAAAAAGATCCGCCCCTTGTGTGTGGGACCACTGGTGCGATGATACCCTGATTTCTCAAGTGACAAAATAAGCCGAGATCGAAGTTTCAAACACCTGCGTTTACGAGTCATCGTGCACGAACATTTTTTGCTAATTAATTTTCATCAATTACAAACTTATTTTAAGACTCATCGCTTAAGGCTCAAGGCTCACTTTAGGCTCAAGACTTGTTTGAAGCTTTAAGCGAGTCTTACGTCTTAGTTCAATCTTAAGTCTTAAACAAGTTTTTAGCTTTTTTTATTGAAATGAAAAATTTTGAATCGTTTGCAGTTTAACTGTAAGCAGAGGGTCGATTACGTAATTTTATTTTCACTTTCACATTCATTGTCACTTTTACTTTTACTTTCATTTTCACTTAGACACATTTCTATTTTCACTTTCATTTACACTTTTTCACTTTCATTTTCACTTGGACACATTTCTATTTTTACTTTCACTTCCACTTTCACTTTGAAAGGTAGGGAAAATATAAATTTATCAAAGTGAAAATGAAAGTGAACATTTTCACTTTGAAAAATTTCTATCTTCACATCGATGATTTTCTTTAGACACACACTTTGTTCTTGAAGATAAATATAAAATTTAATTTAAAGTGAAGATTTATCATGCGGTGATAGGTAAACCTGAAAAAATATACGTCAAAGTAAAAATGAAAGCGAATGTGAAATATAAATTGTGGGGTGCGTTCATGTAACTTTCACTTTCACTCAAGAAATTTTCACTTTCAATTATAAAAATTCTCACTTTTATATTAAAAAATTCTCACTTTTACTTAACTAAGTTTGACTCTCATTAAAAATTTTTTCATTTTCACTCACAAAATTGTCACTTTCACTAAAAACAATATTAACCTTCACTCACAAAATTGTCACTCTCACTTAAAAAAATGTTGACCTTCACTCATAAAATTGTCACTCTCACGTAAAAAAAATGTTTACCTTCATTCCCAAAATTGTCACCTTCACTAAAAAAATGTTAAACCTCATTCAAAAAACTGTAACTTTCACATTCACTCAAAAAATTTTCACTTTCATTATAAAAATTCTCACTTTCACTTTCACTTAAAAAATTTCCGCATTCACTTAAAACAATGTTCACCTTCACTCACAAAGTCACAAAATTGTCACTTTCACTAAAAAAATGTTAAACTTTACTCAAAACACTGTAACTTTCACATTCACTCAAAAAATTTTCACTTTTATTATAAAAATTCTCAGTTTTACTTAACCAAGTTTAACTTTTATGAAAAAAATTCTCACTTTCACATTCACTCAAAAAATTTTCACATTCACTATTAAAAAAATGTTGACTTTCACTCACGAAATTCTCACTTTCACTTAAAAAAAATGTTGACCTTCATTTACAAAATTGTCACTTTCACTAAAAAAATGTTGACCTTCACTCAATAATTTATCACTTTCACTTTGACTCAAAAATTTTCATTTTCACTCAAAAAATTCTCATTATCATTCAAAATTTGTTTACTTTGCCTAAAGAATAAAATTCTCACTTTTACATAACTAAGTTTACTTTCATTAAAAAAATTTTTACTTTTGCTCAAAAATATTTATATTCACTAAAAACAATGTTTGACCTTTACTCACAAAATTGTCACTTTCACTAAAAAAAAATGCATTCTCACTTTTACTTTCTCTTTCATTTTCACTTGAACACATATCTCTTTTTACTTTCATTTCCACTTTCACTTTGATAGAAAGGGAAAATATATATTTATCAAAGTGAAAATGAAAATTCACAAAATTGTCACCTTCACTAAAAAAAGTAATGTTAAACTTCATTCAAAAAACTGTAACTTTAACATTCACTTAAAAAATTTTCACTTTCATTATAAAAATACTCACTTTCACTAAAAAATTCTCACTTTTACATAACTAAGTTTGACTTTAATATTAATTGAAAAAATTCTCACTTTCACTTAACAAATTTTCACATTTTTTTGATTTTATTATTTAAGTGAAGTAAAAAAAAATATGCTAAATTCTGTTTAATTTAGAAGTATAGATATTTTTTTAAATAGAGTCTGAAGAAAGAAAGGAAACTGGTCATTAAGTAAAAAAAAATTCCGTTAAAGGATTTAGAAGCGCACGTGGACTTATTTCTCTAATGCCCTTAAGGTCTAAATCTCGGGATTTTGATTTTTCAAACCGATATTCGAACAAGAGACAAGGAAGAATGGATCAACCAAAAATGTCAATATTGTTTTGTGTAAGTGAAACTTTTCGAAAAAAATAATTGATTTTAAAAAAAGTTTTTCAAAATTTTGTTTCTTGTCATTCTTTTCATTATTCTTTCATGGTTTATATTTTAATACATAAGATTAATAGGGGAGAGTCTCCAGTTGTGAGACGGGTTTCATTTTTGACCCGTAAATTGTAAACGGGTAAACGAAATTGTTAATAAAATACACCGTTCGAAAGGTAACAGAAATACGCAACTTTTATTAAAAGAAAGTATAGTGTTTCGATGAACTCAAAAAGTTTTACGATACATTTTCCGAGCACATCGCTTTTTTCAAAAAAAAAAAATGTCTCCAGTTGTGAGACACTCATTAAAAATTGCTAAAATTTAATAAGTTTGACATAAAACGTTATGTTTAGTAGAAATAATTAAATATATTAATAATATATATTATTATATACTAAATAATAATATTTATTCGCCAAAATATGACTATCAAATAAACACAATTTAATAGCTTCAACAAGAGCATTAAAATTGATTTCTTCTGAATCAATTGACTTTTTTCCACTTGACATGCCCAAAAATACTAGAAAAAAAATCAAAACAACATTTAAATAGTATGCCTGCAAAGTAGTATTTTTTATGCTGCCCAGATGGGTGTTGACACCGTCTCACAACTGGTGATATGCTGTGTCTCACACCCAGAAATTGGCGCTATTTTGAAAAAGGAAAATTAAATTATTTTCAACCGTAGATTGGAACAATGCAATATTGCATCACAAAATATAAGGAAAACACTAAAAGAAAATGCATTACATTTACCTTTTCAAATTAATTAACTTGGAAAAAAAGTACTTTGCATTTATTGAAAAAACGCTTTTTAGTCGATTATCACACACAGTGTTGGTATTTAACAAAAACAGTTTATATATCCGCTTTGGCGTACACGAGAAAGTTGGCTCATATAAAAAGAAATGTTTTTATAGAAACCAATCGGCTTTTTAATATTGCATGTTAAAAAAAATTGACTGTCTCACAACTGGAGGTGTCTCACAACTGGAGACTCTCCCCTACTCTCTAAATTTGAATAAATAAAAAATTTTTTACTAATTTGAATCAGTGACTGACTTTTTGCTTTTAAATTAGTAAATTTTACTAATAAATAGTAATTTATACTATTTTATTAGTAAATATTATTATACATACTTTATTAGTAAATTTCACTAATAAATAGTAATTTCTACTATTTATTAGTAAAATTTACTAATTTACTAATTTACTAATAAATAAATAGTAATTTCTACTAAATTATTAGTAAAATTTACTAAATTCAAATGCAAAATATCAGTCACTAATTGAAATTAGTAAACATTTTTCATCATTGAAATTTAGAGAGTATTACAGTAATCATGTTGGTACTAACAAGTGATTTATAAAACCCACCTGTATATACACATGAACCTGTAACTTGAAATTAAAGTATCAAAGTCATTTTGAAATCACTCGATGTCAACTTGATTTTATTTAAATGTCAATCAGTCCAGGTGACTCTTAATGTCAATTTCAAGTCCCTTTTAAGTAAATAATCATTTATTAGACAAAAAAAATTACTTCAATTGTAATTCACTTTAAAATCATTTTATGACTCATATACTTGAATTTAGTCGAAATACTCAAAGTCTCTTCAAGTCAAAAAAAAAAAAAAAAAATTTGTTTATTGATATTTTCTCTTTGAAATCCTCTTTCTCTTCCGGTTGCAGAGTCGTCGTAATTATAAGGGCTTTTTAATATGATTGTATATACTGTACTTAGATGAAATAAGATTATTATAATTATTGTTAATTAGTAAAATAGTTTGCCAATGAGAAAATACATCAAAATTTGCAAATTCCACTTTTTTAACTAAAAATTTTATCTGTAAATTTAGTAATAAAGGATTCATTTTCACACCTGGAAAAAATTTTATTTAAACCAATTATGACAATTTATTTAAGTAAAATAAAAATTATAGTTGTCTCAAAGTCAAGTTGATTATTTATTTGTTTTAAATAAAAATCTTATTCGACATAAATAATAATTTTTATTTTTATTTTTACTTGGATTTTTATTTGAATTATTTTTTTTTTAATTTTAAAAAATTATTTTTTTATTTTTATTTTATTTTGAATTTTTATTTGGAACAAATGAAATTATCGACATAAATAAAATTTTATTTGTATTAAATTGAAATTAATTTGAAACAAATAAAATGTCTAGTTGCGGTACTGAGACAAATATATCTTTTTTTTTAATGAAGATGCGTAAGGTGAGTCAAATATAGATGACGATTAGTAATATTATACCTAAAAGTCACATTTTAAAAATTTTATTTCGTAATTTTATGTAAAAATACAATACTACTTGGAACACAGTAAATAACAATTGTTTTTTGTACTCTAAAATTATATGTATATATATATCGTGTTACAAAATGACCTAGTCACTTTTGTTTCCTAACTAAATAATATTTGCGATTAATGCAGGATGAGTTTTGACTTCTTGCATCATCATTCTCTCTACTATATGATCAACCTGAAACACACAAGTATAATATTTATTATAATAAATAATATTTATTATTATTGTTGACAGTAATTTTGTTTTTGAATTTTCATCAAAATAAGAGAATAATAGGTATTCTTTGGAATACCAAATGGTAATAATATTAATTAGGGCGCAAAACTTTTATTAATTTTATTCGACATAAATAAAACTTATATTTAAACCCAATAAAATTTATAATTGAAACATTTTGAAAATTCATAAATTTAAAAAATCATATTTTAAAATCACTTTTATTGTTCTTAAATGGTATTAAAATAAATTGAAAATTAATAGAAGGGGTTTCAAAACTATCCGTTTGGAAAATTTTAATTTAATGATATTTAAGACCCTAAACTTAGTCTATGTGAAAGAAGTATTTTAAAATAATTAATTTTTAATATCAAAGCGTAGTTTTTGAAGTTAGGGGTGACTTTTTAGATTACAGTTTTAATTTGTATTGTTTTTGGGTAGACGGTTTTTGGCCTGGTTTTTGGAACCTTCAGGAAAGCCTTTTCGGAGACTTTCAGTTGTCATTTTTATTGACTTTCAGTAGGCTTTCTTCTTAAAGTTAGGGTAAGCTTTTTGGAAAATTTTATTTATCAATCTTTAGTGACTTTGCGAATAGGCTTTCTTCTTAAGTTTAGGGTAACCTTTTTGAAGATTTTAGATATTTTCAGTTGTCAATCTTTGGTGACTTTGAATAGATCTTCTTTTTAAACTTAGGGTAAGCTTTTTGAAGATTTTTGGGATTTTCAGTTGTCAAATCTTGGTGATTTTGAGTAGGTCTTCTTTTTAAACTTAGGGTAAGCTTTTGAAGTATTTGGAGATTTTCATTTGACAATGAAAAAGTTTTATAACTTTAAGTTAGCTTTCTCTGGAGTCTTTAGGTACGCTTTTTTTAAAACTGTGAGTAAACTATTCTTTGGAAACTTAGGGTTAGCTTTTTGGAGAATTTTATTTGTCAATCTTTGGTGACTTTGAATAGATCTTCTTTTTAAATTTAGTGTAAGCTTTTTGAAGATTTTCAGATGTCAATCTTTGGTGATTTTGAGTAGGCCTTCTTTTTAAACTTAGGTTAAGCTTTTTGATGATTTTGGAGATTTTCAGTTGTCAATCTTTGGTGACTTTGCGAATAGGCTTTCTTCTTAAGTTTAGGGTAAGCTTTTTGAAGATTTTGAAGATTTTCAGATGTCAATCTGTGGTGACTTTGAGTAGGCCTTCTTTTTAAACTTAGGTTAAGCTTTTTGAAGATTTTGGAGATTTTCAGTTGCCAATCATTGGTGACTTTGAGTAGGTCTTCTTTTTAAACTTAGGGTAAGCTTTTTGAAGATATTTGAGATTTTTAGTTGCTAATCTTTGGTGACTTTGAGTAGGCCTATGTTTTTTAAACTTAGGGTAAGCTTTTTGATGATTTTGGAGATTTTCAGTTGCCAATATTTGGTGACTTTGAAATGGCCTTCTTTTTAAACTTAGGGTAAGCTTTTTGAAGATTTTGGAGATTTTCATTTGACAATTTTCGGTGACTATACTTGAAAACTTGGATAAACTTTCTTTGGAGTATTTGATTTGAAAATTTTTATAACTTTAGGTAAGCTTTCTCTGGAGTCTTTGGGTAGGTTTTTTTTAAAACTTTGAGTTAACTATTCTTTGGAAACTTAGGGTTAGCTTTTTGGAGAATTTTATTTATCAATCTGGTGACTTTGTGAATAGGCTTTCTTCTTAAGTTTAGAGTAAGCTTTTTGAAGATTTTGGAGACTTTCAGTTGTCAATCTTTGGTAACTCAAAGAAGGCTTTCTTTATAAACTTCACGTAAACTTTTTGGAGATATTAGAGACTTTCAGTTTTCAACACTTAATGCCTGTAGATAGACTTTGTTTGGAGACTTAGGAAAATCTTTTATTGGAACCTTTTAGTTGTAAATGTTTCATGATTTTAGGTTATCTTTATTTAGAGACTTTGGGATGGCTTTTTTAAAATCTTAGGGTCAGGTTCTTAGGGTAAGCTTTTTTCGAGACTTTATTTGTCAAATTTTGATGACTTTTGGGTTTTCTTTGGAAACAATTTACTTGTCAATTTTCGGTGACTTTGGGTTTATTGGAAATTTAGCATAAGCTTTTTGGAGACTTTCAGTGGTCAAACTTTGGTGACTTAGGGTAGGCATTTTTCTTAAACATAGGGTACGTTTTTTGAAGATGTTCAGTTGACAATCTTTGGTGACTATAGATAGTTCTTTTTCGAAAACTAAGGGTGATTTTTGATGTAAGTTTTTTTTAAAGTCTTTCACTTGTACTTTTTTTAAGTCATTAGGTTGGCTTTCATTGGAGACTTTGGGTAAACTCTTTTTGGAGAGTTTCAGTTGTCTATCTTTATTGAGTTTAAGTGGGATTTCCTTTTATACTTAGGGTAAGCTATTTGGAGCTTTTGGTTAAAAATTCTTCAGTGACTCTCGGTAGACATTGTTTGGAAACTTAGGGTAAGCTTTTTTGGAGACTTTCAGTTGTCTATCTTTGGTGACTTTGACTAGATCTTCTTTTTAAACTTAGGTTAAGCTTTCTGGAGATTTTCAGTTGCCAATATTTAGACAATACAAAGTCGCTAAATATTTATGGAAAGCTTTAATTAGAGTCTAAGTAGGATAGGCTTTCTTTCAAACTTAGGGTACGTTTTTTTGGAGACTTCATGTTTCAAACTTTGATGACTTTGGGTAGGCTTTCTTTTAAACTTAGGATATGCTTTTTCAAGACTTTCATTTGTCAAACTTTTCGTAAGTTTGGGGCGGCTTTTTTTTAATCTTAGAGTAAGCTTTTTGGGGATATTAGAGATTTGAAGCTGTCAATATTTGGTGACTTTGGATAGGCTTTATTTGTAATCTTAGAGAAAGGTTTCATTGGAGTCTTTCAGTTGTAAAGTTTTTGATGACTGTTGGTTAGCTTTGTAAATTTAGGGTATAGTAAGTCTTTGGAGTTTCCGTCTTTAGTAAGTTAGGGTAAGCTTTGACATCTACCTTGTTGATTTTGTTGAGCATGAATCAATTGTTGAATTTCGGGAGGAATATTATTTGAGTAGTGGGGTTGTTGTTGTTGTTGATGATTGTAAATTGGCTGCTGTTGTTGCTGTGGTCTGTAAGCTTGTTGCTGTGGTGGTGCATATTGCTGTTGTCCTTGTGGAGCGTACGCCTGTGGTTGTGGCGCTCGATGTTGTCCACGCTGCACATTAATTGGTTCAATAGCTTGCGATGGTGCAGAACCAAAATGAATTTTAGGACGATAAGATGTCGCTTGACTTTGGGTTTGAACATTGGCTTGAGGTGCACCTTGATGCGTTTGTCCTGGCGTCACTTGTGGTGGATTAACATGGGCTGGAACGCTAACTATTGGTTCACGCGCCTGTTGCAATTGCAGCAATTGCTTAATTTGTCCTGGTACCTGAGAGTAAGGCCTATAATTTGGCAAGGCATGTTGTTGTTGTTGTTGTGCTTGTCTCACTTGACGAATTTGACCTGTTGGAGAATTTTTTTTTATTAGTTATCGTCAATTTTGGCTTTATTATTAAATTTAATATTGTAAGTATGTAACTAATTAACTAGCTAAATAGTCGAATAGCTAATTAGTTAAATAGTTAAATAGTTAAATAGTTAAATAGTTAAATAGTTAAATAGTTAAATAGTTAAATAGTTAAATAGTTAAATAGTTAAATAGTTAAATAGTTAAATAGTTAAATAGTTAAATAGTTAAAGTAATAGTTAAATAGTTAAATAGTTAAATAGTTAAATAGTTAAATAGTTAAATAGTTAAATAGTTAAATAGTTAAATAGTTAAATAGTTAAATAGTTAAATAGTTAAATAGTTAAATAGTTAAATAGTTAAATAGTTAAATAGTTAAATAGTTAAATAGTTAAATAGTTAAATAGTTAAATAGTTAAATAGCTAAATAGCTAAATTTGAAAAAAAATTTGAATAATATTTCTCTCAACATTTACTATCTCTATAAAGCGAAAATAATTTTTCTCCCGTCTATTTTGAAACATTTCTCATATTATAAACTGGAACAAAATGAATGTCCGCGCAAAGGGATACAAGTGTATGAAATATCAGTTATACCCTTTTTTTTGAAAATTTAAGACGGCTAATCTCTTTTATAGCTTATATTCAAAGAGTTCAATTACAAATGTATTAACAACTTTCATTTTCAATTATTATTATTATTTATTTTTAATAATTTGAACTTAAAATTCTTAATTAGACACTATATTTATAATGTCTTGTAATTTTTAAAATAAATAATATATATATGTAAATTTATCGATTCGAAAATTGAATAATTTTGTCGTTTATATACAATGTTGGAAAGGAATTTTCATTAGAATTCAGCGAAAGGAAAACTTACCGAGACCGGTTCTCTGCTGATAAACTTCCGGATTCTGATCCACAAATGGAAGTTGTGCATTGCATGTCGCTGCGAATGCGAACATTAAAATCTGTCAATTAAAAGAAAGAAAAAAATAATCACGTTATGTGGTAATATGTTTTTTTTTCTTGAAAAATAATAGGTTTAAGATTATTTCTAAATTATTTTCTTATAAAATATTTATTTTAGTGTAAAATAATATATTTATTTATTTTTATTTACTACAATTTTACATAATATTTAATTTAAAAAAAATTATTTTTACTTTTAATTTTTGTAAAAAAAATATAGAGAAAAGTGAAGGAAAATAGAAAATGAGAGAAAAAATAATGAAAAAGGAAAAGGAAAGAGAAATTTTAATGAAAGTAGAAATATATGTGTAAAAAATAGAAAAAGAAAAGAATAGAGAAGTAACAAAAAATATAAATAATGAGAAATAGAAAAAAGAAAAAAAAATATGTAAGGAGAAGAGAAGAATAAAAAACTGTAGATTAGAAAATAGAAGAATAAGAAAATAGAGAAAAGAAAATAAAAAAGTAAAAAATAGAGAAAAGAAAAAAAAATGAAAAAGTATAAAAAAATAGAGGGACAAATGTAGAAAAGTAGAAAAAATAAAAAAATGAAAATAAAAACTGAAAACAATAGAAAAATAGATTAAAAAGTAGAAAAATAGAGAAATAGAAATAGAAAAGTAGAAAACTACATGAATTAAAATGCAAAAGTGAAAAAATAGAAAAAAGTAGAAAAGCAGAAAAATAGTTGAAATAGAAAAGTGAAAAAAGTAGAGAAATAGAAATAGACAAGTATAAAAATATATCAATTAAAATAGAAAAGTAAAAAATAATAGAGAAAAGAGGAAAAAGTAGAATAAGGAAGAAATGAAAATAAAAACGGAAAACAATAGAAAAAATAGAGTATAAAATTAAAAAAGTAGAAAAATAGAGAAATGAAAATAGAAAAATACAAAGAAAATGTAGAAAAGTAGAGAAATACAGAAATAGAGAACAAAAGTAAAACATTAGAAAAGTAAAGAAATGAAAATCGAAAAGTAAAAAAAAATATAAAAATTCAGAAGAATGTAGAAAAGTAGAAAAATAGAGAAATGAAAATAGAAAAATAAATAAAATAGAAAAAAGAAAAGTAAAAAAAATTGAAAAAAATGAAAAATGAAAAAATATAAAAGTAGAAAAATACAGTAAAGAAAGTAGAAATATAAATAGAAAATAAATTTAAAAAATAGTGTAAAAAATGAAATTTTTTAAAATAGAGAGAAAATAATAGCGTGGAAAAAAAAGTAGTATAGAAATATAGATAAAAGAAAGTAGAAATGTAAATACAGAATTAAAAAATCGAGGAAAAAAAGTAAAAAAATTAAAAGAATATAGAAAAAAGAAAATAAAAGTGTAAAAAATAGAAATTAAAAAAAATGGAGAAAAGCAAATAGAAATGTGTGAGAAAAATACAAAATTAAAAAAAATGAAAAATTGAAAGAAATAGAAAAGTAAAAAATTAAAAACAATAAAAAAGTATAAGAAAATGAAAATAAAAAATTCTCCCATATGAAAAATGAAATTTTCATTTTAACAAAAAACAGAAATTCGAAAAATATCCCTGAGAGACAATAATATATATAAAAAAAAGATTCACTCAATTATTTCCAAATAGAAAAATTTTCACAACTAATCTAACATTCGGTAATTAGAATAATTAAAAGTCAATTAAATATTATACATCTTAATTGAATATTCTAATATGTCACTTTATAAATTAACATTTATATGTCCCATTACATTTCTCCAATAATATTAGTTTATAATTTATAAATATTAGTATTAAAAGGAAAAAAAAATCTGAACTAAACTTCCTGTCAAGGTTACTTTCTCGATATGCGACATTTATTAAATAATCAAAAATGTGACATACAAATTATATTGTTTACCTCAAACTAAAAACAAAAAAGAAAAGAAATATTTGCCATTCAAATTAATTTGTTATTAAAAATATTTTTTCTTTCTTTTCTACTTACAAATAATTTCATGATGAAAAACTTAATGATATGATGATGATAAATGATGATGATTTCGATAGGAACCTAAGAAAACTGGCGATCGCGTCGCGACGCACTTCTATATGGGCGCGTTTCTGGGGTAAATGACCACCACCATGGTTTCATGGTTCGTTGGCTTCGAAAATTTTTAAATTACCTATGCACATATATATATATATGATCATGTAACACCCTGTTTGACTGGGCTCTAATCTAATAGGCAGGAAGTGATCGGGTCCACTTCGCGGTGTGTTTCATTTGATCGAAGAAAAAAAATCAAATCTATATATGTGTGCAATATCATTTATATACTACGTCTGTGTAAAATATAATGTCTCATTCTAATGATAAGTTGAAACAGTTTTTACTTCTCTTCTCTATAATTAACAAAAATTGACAATTTATTTACAAGACGTAAATTTTTTTCAAAAAAAAAAAGAAAATCTGTTATTTTTTTCCTACTGAAGTTGAGAAAATTGTCTTTTTTTCAATTTTTTTTTAAAGAACAAAATTTAATTTTACTGTCCAAAAATGCAAAAAGAAAAAAATAATATAAATTTCTTGCGACTTAAAATTTTTCTGCTATAATTGAAAAAGTAAATTTAAAAAAATATATACAATAATATTTTTATTATTGTTTTTAAATAAATTAATGAAAAATAAATAAATAATTAAGTAGTTAAAAATTTTATTCATTGTAATTAATTGTTAAAATTATTATTTATAACTTATAACTTTTAATTATAAAAATTATAATTATTATAAATTTTATAACGATAAGCAATAATAATTATTAGTAACGAATTAATAATAAAATTTTTGATAATTATTTATAATAATTACTGATAATTAGTACTATTGTAATTATTTTTAGTAATTTAATAATTTATATTTAATTAGTTTATAGTACTTATTTATTTAATTATTCCTGTCTATTAAATAAATAAATAAATAAATAAATTAGTGATAACTACTTTTATAATAATCATTGATAATTATTATTAATAATAATTATTATTATAATAATTATTGATAATTATAAATATAACAATTATTGATATTAGCTGTTGATAATTATTATTGATAACTATTTATAATAATTATTATCAATACTAAATAATTATCAAAAGTTATTAGCAATAATAATTATCAATAATAGTCTTTAATAATTATAATAATAATTATTAGCAATAGTAATTATAATAATTATTATCAATAATAATTATCAATAATTTTTATAAAAGTAGTTATCACTAATTTATTTATTTATTTAATAGACAGGATAATTATTTATAATAATTATAATTGATAATTATTATTGATAATAACTTTTGATAATTATTTATAATTGATATTTATAATTGATATTTATAATTGATAATTATTTATAATAATTATTGATAATTGTTATTGGTAACTATTGTAATAATACTTTTTGATAATAGTTATTGATAATTATTATTATAATAATTATTGACAATACACTGAAAAAAAACTTTAATTTGATTCAAATACCCGATTAATTGACTATTATCAATTAAATATTTAATTAAATCAAATAATATTTATTCAAGTCAATTAAATTGTATTTGAACCAATAATTTCAGTATATGAAGCAAATATGAATTGAAACATTTAATTGACTCCAATAAATATTATTTAATTCAAGTAAATATTTCATTGATAATAGTCAATTAATCGGTTATTTGAAGCAATTAAATTTTTTTTCAGTGAAATTTTTATTAAGAACAAAATGTTCTTAATAAAAATTCGAAAAATGTTTTCAAAACCAATTCTCTGTGTCTAAATAAAAGAATAAATTTCTATAAAAAAAAGATACATTTTATTGAACACAACTATTACACTTAAATTTTTCTATAACCTAAAGTCATGAAATGAGACGAAAAAAAAAATTATATGAAAGATTTGCTTATCGATCGATAATCAAAGAAATTTTTTTAAAAAAACGTAGAAAAATTACAATTATTAACTTTTTTTTGAATTCTAATTATTCGGTGGTTTTTTTTTTCTTTATATTAAATATATATTATATTTAGTTCATCGCTGATAATTTCACGCATCTATAGATTCACACACATGGAAAAGAAAATTATATAATATTCTATAACAATATAATAAAAATGTAAAGAAGTTTAAAATTAATAATTGATGTTGCTCAATATTACAGCAGAAGTGCAATTTCTTTTTTTCTGACTAAAAATTCAAATTTGATTTCAATTTTCACTTTGATATTCATTTTTATTTACACTTTGGATTTTCATTTTGATTTTTAACTGAATTTAAAATTTAACTTTGATTTAAATTTAGTTTTTAAATATTTAGTTTATACTTCGAATTTGATTTTAACTTCAATTTTTACTTTTAAAGTTGACTTTGAATTTGACTTTGATTTTGATATTCACTTTAACTGTGAATTTCACTTTGATTTTGACTTTGCCTTCAATTTTGACTTTATATTTGAATTCGAAATTAATTATTTAATTTTAATTTGCGAATTCGAATTGGAAAATTGGTCAAAATTTAATTCAAAATCAAAATTTTGAATTAAATTTTGACCTTGATTTCGAATATAAATTAGAATTTTAATTTTACTCTGACTTTATAATTTTGACTTAGACGTTGAGTTTAAATTAAAATTCAACTTTGACTTTATCTCTGAATTCAACATTAATTTTGTCTTTAATTTGAATTTCAAATTTGAGTTAAAATTTGATTTTGACTTAAATTTTGACTTTCATTTCGAATTTGAATTAGAATTTAAATTTTACTTTCGACTTCAATTTTGACTTGGACGTTGAAATCAAATTTTAATTTTCACTTTGACTTCAATTTTAACTTTATATCTTTGAATTCAAGTTTGATTTTTACTTTTGAATTTTTAAAACTTTGACATAATGTGAATTTTTCGACTTAAATTTTTCCAAAGTCAAAGTCAAAATGAAAATTTATTTTGATTAATTTAATAATTAATGTAATTCATTTTAATTTAAAATTTATTTGAAATCTTCAAATTTTAATTTTAAATAACAGAATTGCACTCCATTAAATAAAAAAATATATGTGTATAGCCACCGCAATTTTTTCGTTTATCATTAAATTATCGCAGACATTTTCTTTTTCAATAAAAATAATAATTAATAATCCGTACATTGTACAGTTGTACAATGTATATATAATAAAATAAACGAACAGAAACGAATAATTTTGTTCTTCATTGTGCATATATACGTCTGATAAAATAATCGTGCATAATGTATAACATGAAAATTCACTTTCATTTCATCTCAGGAAAGTCACTTGGGTAATTCATGTTTCTAATGAATGTAAATTTGTGCCAATAGTCGTAGCACTTTCTATTTAGATTGAAATCGATATTACAGTTCAAACGCGTAATGCAAAAGAAAAGAAGAAATAATCGCTGATGGAGATTAAAATTTGTAAATAAATATATCCGTCATCTCTTTTTTTCCTCTCTTTGAAAAACGATTTTTTTCCGACTATTGAAAGTAGAAGTAGAAAGAGAAAGTAATCTTTATTTTTTTGATGGAAATTTCATACCTTCTTTTTAAGTGAATTAAAAAATTAGAAATTGATTGTAAATTCTAATATTGTTGTTCAGTCACAGGACGCGTGGGTTGTTGACCATAATACTGTCCCTGGGCTTGTACTCCACCGTACTGTTGTCCTTGTGCTTGATTTGGACCTTGAGCGAGACCTTGTGCGTATTGTGGAACGTATTCTGGTTGTTGTGGTGGTGCGTATTGTTGTTGTTGTTGTTGTGGAGCGTACTGTTGTTGTGGTTGTTGTGGTGCATGCTGTTGTGCTTGAACAGGTTGTGGTACGTATGGCTTATCAGGAACATAACTAATTTGATTTGCAATAATATCATAAGGGATTTGTGCCTGATATTTCAATAGAGATGAAATTTCTGTTGGTAAATTTGTTGAATAGTTTGGTAATACTTCAGGTGCTGGTTGTGATATTCTTTTGTATTGGGAGAAATCTGGTTGTTGCTGTTGTTGTTGTTGTTGTTGATAGCCACCTGGTGCTTGACGCTTTTGTCTTGATTCGGCACGATATTTAGCACGGTACTGACCTCGTGGTTGATGCCTCTGTGGAGCTTCGACTGGTGCAGGAGCTGGCGCTTGTTGCAATACATTCTTCCTATCGCTTAATGCTTGTTGAACCTGCTTTGGATATTCCTCTTGGAAATGTTTAGCGTGCAGTTGTGCAGCTGATTCGGCATCGAATCTGAAATTATGCAAATGGAAGACTGCCTTTAGGATGTGACGGAAGATTAATAGAAATGATGATTAATGAAATGCAAAAGGGAAGATGAAAGTGAAAATAAATTTATGTGATTGGATGGTACAAAGATTTTTACGGATGTAGCATGCAATATTGTTATCGCTTTTGCTATTGTTATTACTGCTAATACTGCTGATACTACTGATGCTGCAGACACTTTTTTTAAAGTAAAGACTTAGCAAAAACTTAGTAAAACTTAGTAAAATTAAATCTTTAAAGTAAAGACATTTTTAAAGTAAAGACATCACTGCAAGTGATGCTACTACTACTTTTGATGACTTTTGATTTTCGACGAAACTTTCAATAAGAATAAATTATCAAACTCGAAACTTGTCACACTGGTTATTATTTATGTATTTATGTATCTGTATTTAAATATTTAAAAAAAAATAGTTTTCACCTGAACGGTTCCGGAATGGCATTCTGATAAGGTATCTGCGCCTGATATTCGAGTAACTGCTTAATTTGTGATGGAGCACTATTAAAAGGAGTATAATTTGGTTGTATTTGTGCCGGTGCTTGTTGTCGTGCAGGTTGATGTTGCTGTTGTCTGTGTGCTGGTCGACGACGTGGTTGTTGTGCTACTGGTTGTGGAACTGGTTGCGGCGCATATTGTTCCTGCTGCTGCTGTTGCTGTTGAGGTTGTACTTGACGATTCTGGCCAAATCGCCAATTCACTTTCAAACCTGTAAATTTATATTTTCCCCTCACATTTCAGAAAAATTACACATTACTAAAAATTCCTTTTTTTTGTATGATAATTTTTAAAATCTATTATTAATTTAAATTTAGAATTTTTGTATTTTAGATTTTTTTTGGGGAATGGAACAAAAGAGTATTCATTTTTTGGTTCTAAATTAGAAGAAAAAAAATTACCCACCGCTTGGATCTTGATATTGTAATGCACGATGTTGTGGGCTATCGCCTCTTTGTCTGGGATCATACGGATCCTGTAGGTAGGTATTAGCACCACCATGACTCGGTGCTTGAATTTGGAAATCTGTATTTCCATCCGATGGGCCTTGAATTTGAAAACTACTGTGTCCATCCGTTGCACCTTGAATTGTAAAATCGCCAGTTCCTAGTGATGCTGGAAAAGAAATTTTAAGTTATCTTCGAATACTTTGATAATATGGAAGTTACTTAATCATATCTGTATTCAGGGTTACCATAGGTCAGGGAATTCAAGGAAATTAGAATTAGCCAGGAATTTTTATTAAAAGTACTAGAAAAAATTTAATTTTTAGAATTTATAAGAAAATTCTGAATTTTGGTGTCTTTTTTGTATGCCGTTATAAACTATGACATTGCCAAGAATTTTAATACAAAACCTTCAATTTTTTCTATTTCTGACAATAATTTCTTTTTAAATAACTTAATTGTTGAAGAACTATCATAAAATTATTACTCATAAATTAATTAATGAATAATTTTACTTAAAAATTAAAAAATTAATTGGATTTCAGAAGAGTTGCGTTTACAATCTTCATAAATAAATGAACTTCAAAGGTTTTAATTTGAAATTTTAGAAAGTTTCAATTTTTAATGAATTTGAATAGAAATTTTAAGAACAACTGATTACAGAAATTCAATTATTTTCAAAAATTTTTTTAAATTCTCGACAAAAATTCAATTATCTTTAGAAATAATAAAATTCTTTTTCAAAATTCAATTATTTTCGTCAAATATTTAATAAAATTTTTGTCAAAATTTCAATTATTTTCAAAAATTTACCTCATTTCAATTATTTTTAATATCTACTATTTTAATGTAATTCAATTATTTTTAATACATTTCTTCTTAAGAATTCAATTATTTTCACAAATAATACATTTTTTAACGGAATTCAATTATTAAAAAAAAATTCAATATAAAATTATTTGCAAGAAATCTATTATTTTCATAAATAATAAAATTTTTCTCAAGAATTCAATTATTTTAAAAAATGTTGATAAAATGCTTAATAAATTTGAAAAATTATAATAAATAAATTGATTATAGAATACAATTATTTTCGTAAAAATACAACTTTTTTTCTAGGAATACAATTATTGTCAAAAATGTTTATAATAATCTTCGAAACAATTCAATTATATTCGTAAAAAATAAAATTTTTCACAGGAATTCAATTATTTAAAAAAAAAATTAATGAAATTCTTGGTTAGATTCAATTATTTTCAAAAATTTATCTCATTTCAATTATTTCTAACACCTACTATTTTAATAAAATTTTGTAAAAAAATTCAATGCATTTTTTTATTTAAAAAAATGTTTAAAAAAATTTCACAGGAATTCAAATTTTTTAAAAATTTCTTCCCACCAATTCAATTATTTTTAATTTTATAATAAAGTTTCTCCAAAAAAATTCAATTATTTTCACAAATAATACATTTTTTATAGGAATTCAATTATTTAAAAAAATTTGAATAAAATTCTTCGCAAGAAATCAATTATTTTCTTAAATAATAAAATTTTTCTCGAGAATTCAATTATTTAAAAAATTTTAATAAAAAATTCTTCCCAAGAATTCAATTATTTTCAAAAATAAAATTCTTCACAGGAATTAAATTATTTAAAACAGAATGTTTTAATTCTTTGTCAGATTTTAATTTTTTTCAATTTTTTAATGAAATTTCTCAATAAAATTTAATTATTTTCAAAAAGTTTTAAAAAATTCTAAAAATTCAATTTTATTTTTAAAAAAATTGTATAAAATTCTTCCCCAAGAAATTAATTATTTTCATAAATAATAATATTTTTCTCCGAAATTCAATTATTTTCACAAATAAAAAATTCAGCACAGGAATTCAATATTCTTTCAAAAAAAGTTTAATAAAATTCGTTGCAAGAATTCAATTATTTTCATAAATAAAATTTTTCACAGGAGATCAATTATTTCTTGTACAATTTTAAATAAAATGATAGAAAATTGCATTTATTCTTAAAATTTTTTTTTGAAAATTCGCCGAAAGAATTCAATTATTTAAAAAATTTTTTGATAAAATTCTTCATAAAAATTCAATTTTAAGAAATATTTAATTATTTTGATAAATTATTTATCTTTGTATTCAAATAATATTGAATTCTCGAAAAATTTTCTAATAAAAATTAATTAAAAAATGAATTTCACTTAAAATTTTAAATTATAATTGAGTATTAAAAGCATTATAGCGTGAATTTTTAGAAATAATTGACTCGGAAATTAGGGAAAAACAAAATTAATTTTTTGTGACTGCCCTGGTATTTTTTGAAGTCATTAGAATTCGTTTCCTAATAAATATTGTAAGTAGATAATAAATAATGTATTCGTTTTATTACTTTTCTATAATTTGAATAATATTTAATAAACAAATAGAAAATAAAAAAATAAAAATACAGTTCACTTTTCTATATATATATTCCCTTAGGGAGTAAGAGTAGTAATTCTAAAAATTCTATATTGAAATAAGATAGGAGAAAATTTTTGTGTGTTGTAATCGAAATTTTACGACTAAGTTTACAGTTGAACAAATTATAATAATTATTATCATCAATTATATCTATGTATTATTTAGTATTATTTATTATTATTTTTTTGTACAGGACTTTTTTTTTGTTATACGGATCATTGTTTCATAGGAAGTATATAAAAATTTGAATGGTTAGCAATTATTTTCTATCGTCCCCTATTCATATGGATTTCCAAATAGAAGAAGTTTTTGCTATTCTCAAAGGAGAGAAATTATATTTACCACTTTTTCTTTTCTTTTTTAAAAATTTATTATTTCTCTAAATTATATTTACCACTTTTTCTTTTCTTTTTTAAAAATTTATTATTTCTCTAAATTATATTTACCACTTTTGTCAGTGTATTCGATCCCCTTATCTGCACTATACTTCAAACCTTGTGCCTGTCGATTACCATCGCTAGGTCCCTTTATGGAAAATTGGGCCAAACAACACCAAGGCACAGCAAATAATAGTAAAATCTAAAAAAGATTAATATTAATTAAAAAAAAATATTAACATTAATAATATTAATAATAATTTTTTTTTTACTTTTATTTTAGAAAAGGAACCAAATAATATTTAAAATACCGCAATTAAAGATTTGTTAGGATGTTATTACAATTTTAGTCTACTATTACTTTGCGGTAATATGAGAATATGAAAAATTGCAAAAAAGAGAAAAAAATGTAAAAATTGCACTCACACATAGAGAAATTTTATTTTACACAGAAATGTTGCAATTATTTTTCACTTTACTATTTATAAAAAAAAAAATCCATCTATACCTATAAATGTAATTGTATCTGTTTTATGTGTTCAATAGTGTATATTTTGTGCGTATATAGATAGAAACAAATGTAAATGTGTAAAATTGTGAGCAAGTGACTTGGAAATTGGAAAGTTGTTGAATATTCGAGACTATATAAATATATATATATATAAATAAATCTCTGTGTGTGTGTAGTCGAAGTACATGCCTTAGAGAGGTAAAAGCGCAATGTTTAATCGGTCGATCCTTATAATCGAGAGGAAAAGGTGACGCTACTCTCAACCTTTCTGCTCAATTTTTATACACTCTTGCTTCATGAAAGTGAACAGCTATAAATTAGCAAGGCAATGTTTCCCCTTTTTCATCTGACACTTGTTACATAAAAAAAAAAAAAAAAAAAAAAAAATAGTCATGCTTGTTGTAAATTAATGTGTTCCACGAGATTTATACAGTTTAATGAACAAGTTTTCTTGAAAATGTTGTTACTAGCCAGAAAACACTCTAATAAACAAGATTTTTAACTCATTAAATTAGGCACCAGACAAGATAAATTAATATCATTCACTTTCATAAAATAAAAAGAAAATTATTCTTATCGATATAAAAGTATTGTTGTAAAATTAATTAAAACAAATAATAAATAATTAAAAGATGAAAAATCAATCATATCAATTTTTATTCACTTATTTTTAATTTTTGGGAATTTGTTAATTAGTATTATTAGTAATTTATATTATTAATATTCATCATAATATTAATAATAATAAAGATCTTAAACTTTTTTATTTAAATAATATGTCTTTCTACAAAAATTTATTTCAACAATATTATTAATAATAATAATATTAATATTATTAATAATATTTATAATAAGTGTTCCTATTTAAATATAATTCATGCGAATAAAGAAATAGACCAAAAATATGGAATTATTAATTAGAAGTATATTTGGAATATAATAATTTATTGACAATAATTTTATACAGTTTTTAATATTTTATAGGTAATAATAACGAGATAATTTGTAGAAATAATTATAAAAATAGTAATGCTAATTGTTAAAAAAACGAAAGTTTCAACTAAAATTTCGACAATATAGTGAAATTTGTAACTGTTCGAGATTAAAAAACATTTCTCCTTGTACAACATTTTTATTCGACGACTAACAAGAAATAAAATTTATTTTATATATTTTTTGGTAAATAATAATAATTATTATATATTATTATTAATATATTGTTTAAATTTATTTAGATATTTAATTAATTTAATTTATTTAGATAAATAATAATAATTTATTTGAATTTTCCCAGAATTTTTCACGAAACAATAATTGTCAATTCATTAGTAAGTTCCTTCACTAAATGTGAAGTTGAAACCCACTATATCGATTTATATATTTATTTTTCAATAAAAATTCATTTATTTATTTAAAAAAAATTGTTAAAATATAATAATAAATATATTTTTTTAAATTTAGTTAATTTAATAATAAATATAATTTTTTAAAATTTACTTAATTTAATAATAAATAAAAATAATTATAAATTAACAATAAATAATAATTTAATAATAATAATAATAATAATAATAATAATAATTATAATAACAACCTACTAAAATTTTTAAAAAATTAAAAACTTTATAAAAGTTCCTACTGTAAATCCAAGTGTAAAAAATAAATAATTGGATACAATTTTCCAAAGTGATGAATTTTTTATTATATAAAAATAGTGTTGAAGAAATAAAAGTTAAGTGAGCAGAAAGAAATTTTTTTTTATTCTTGACAAGTATACAGTGATTGATGAGTGAAACAGGGAAATTGTTTAGGGAAATTTTGAAAAAAAAAAAAATTTGTGACTTGTAAAAAGGTGGTGATTTTTTTGTTGTTGTCTTTAATTTAAGATAATTTTATTTACCTGAAGTATTTTCAGCATTTTTGTATAATAACTGTCCGGATAAGTTGGAGGGTTAAGTGTTTCTGAGGCGGGCGCGCGACGTTCAGATCAACTTTATAGGTGCGGAGATGTGTCGACTTTACGGTTAACCACCTCCAGCTTTCTTTAAGTTTTATAGATTATAGCGATCTCCTGGACCAATGTTTTCTTATATAGTTTTTTCTCCATTGTCTATTATTGCTGAGCAATCGGTGGGCATAAAGCAATTAACAGATAAAAAAATTTAAGCAAATAAAAAAATTCATAAATGTAAATTTAAAATTAAAAAAAATTACTTTATAAATTCAGTATGTTTATATTATTTAAATAAATAGATAAATAAATAGGGGAATAAATAAATTAATTAAAAAATAAATTGATAAATAAATAGGTTAATAATAAGATAAACAAATAAAAATGAAACATGAAAAAAAATTTATAAGTAAAGAAATAATTAAATATATAAATAAATATGTAAACAATAAATTGATAAACAAACAAATAAGAGAAAATATAAATATTTTTTTACTCTTTTCAAATATTTTCAATCTTAAAATTAATGTATTGAAAATCATCGAATTGTTGCAAAGAATATTATCAAAAAATTTTATAATAATAGAATTCCATTAAAGAAATTCATTATTTAGAAAAATAATTGAATTCTCGAGAGGAATTTTATTAAATTTTTAAAAATCCTAATTAAATTCTTGTGAAGAATTTCTTTGAATTTTTTTTTAAACTAATGGAGTTTTTTTAATAATTTTAATTGAAAATTTTGAAAGCAATTGAATTTTATTAAAATTGTATTGAAAATAATTGAATTCTTGCGAAAAATTTTACTGTTTATAAAAATAATTTAATTGTTTCGAAGAATTAATTAAAATTTTAGAAAATAAATAAATTTTATGTTAATATATTTGAAAATTTTAATTCTTTTGAGAAATTATATTAAAATTGTTTTTGAAAAGAATTGAATTTCCGCAAAGGAAATATTTGAAAATAATGAAATTTTTTCGAGAAATTCAATTAAAATTGTTTCGAAAATAATTGAATTTCTTTAAAGAATTTTATTGAAATTAAGTATATTGAAAATAATATTGAATTCATCACAAGAATTTTATTATTTTTTGAAAATAATTGAATTCTTACAATTTTTTTTTTTTTGACGAATATATTTAAAAATTGCATTGAAAGTAATTTAATTTTTATGTAGAATTTTTTAAGAATATTTTGAAAATAATTAAATTATTTTTAGAGAATTTTAAATTCTTGTTGAAATTGAATTCTATGAAAATTTTTGAAAATAATTAAATTCTTTTGTGTAATTTTATTTAAAATGGATTAAAAATAATTTAATTCCTGCAAAGAATTTTAGTATTTATAAAAATAGTTTAATTGTTTTAAAGAATTTATTAAAATTTTAGGAAATAATTGAAATTTATGAAAATATTTTAAAATATTTTAATTCATCCGAGGAATTCAATTAAGATTGTTTTGAAAATAATTGAATTCCTGGAAAGAATTTTACTATTTATAAAATTAATTGAATTCTTGCGAAGAATTTTACTATTTATAAAAATAATTGAATTTTTTCGAAGGATTTATTAAAATTTAAGAAAAAAATTGAATTTTTTCGAAATGTGTTAAACATTTTCTTAAAAATTGAATTCTTCCGAGGAATTCAATTGAAATTGTTTTGAAAATAATTGAATTTTTATAAAGATGTTACTATTTAAAAAAATAATTGAATTGTTTAGAAGGATTTATTAAAATTTTAGAAAATAATTGAATTCATTCATGAAATTGTATTATGATTTTTGAAAATATGAACAGTAATAATAAATTTTGTACTTAATATGTGAATGTTTTAAGTTTCGATTATGAAATTATTTAAAAAATTTATATTTGAAAATAAAAAATTTTGTAATTTGCAAAACAAATTGATAAATAGACAAATTAGTGAATATATAAATAAATTAATAAAAAACGAGTCGATAAATAAATAAAAAAAAAATTATAAATTTGGCTTGTTTACATTCTTTAAATAAATTGATGAATAAATAATTAGGCGAATAAATATATTAATTGATAAATAAATAAAAATGAAAAATAAATTTACAAATAAAAAAATAACAGAATATATAAATAAATTTATTAATAAATTGATTAATAATGAAATAGATAAATAAATTGATAAATAAATAAATTTATAACTACGTAATTAATTGATAATAAGTAATTGATAAATAAATAGCTAAATAATAAAACTGATCGATAAACAAATAAATCAGTATATAAACAAATAAATAAGTACAAAAATTGTTAAATGAATAAATACGAAATAAAATGATATATAAATTTATAAACAAATAGATAATTAAATGTTTAACGAATATGTGAATAAATAAATTAATAAATTAAATGAGTAAATAAACAAATAAATATTATAATTATTATTATTGTTATTATTATTATTATTATTATTATTATTATTATTATTATTATTATTAATAGTATTAAATTCGATATGTATTTATTATTTAAACAAAAATATAATGTATAAACAATTGAACTTCAAGGCAGTATTATCAATTTTATACTCACTGAAAGAGCATGTGAAACAGACATTTGAGGAAAATTTACTTCTCCTCTGCAATAAAGAAAAACACGATAAACTTCCATCAACTTACGGATTATGCAATATTGAAAAAAAATACTTTTTTAAATATTTCTGCATTTCAATACAAAACTAAAAGTAATTTTATAAAGTCCATGACTGATGAAAATAGATATTATTTAAATTTATTTAGTTATTTAAAAATTAAATTAATCCAAGAAAATTAAGTTATATTTATTTATTATGCAATTATTATCTAGATAAGTTGGTCTATATAAAGATTTTTTTTAATTGTCATTTCTTCAACTACTGATGAGAAGAAAATTAAACTATAATGCTAGTACAAAATAATAAATTCCTCCTCAATAAGATTTATAACTAATTTTTTTCAAAGAATTTAATTGTCATTTTAAAGTTTCATTACGTTCATTAATTTTGACACTTTATTTAGTTGGTGTATAATTTAATGAATATTTAATCGCACTCTTCGCTGTAAGGTAAAATTATTTATAAGTTTTATTATGTAATTGCAACGATTTGCGTGAGTGAATTTTTTCTCTCTCTTTATATATATATATATATATGTATCATATCGAGCGCATTGACCTTCCATTTTATTTTCAAAGTAATGTGTGAGCATTGAAGCGATAAATTTTTACCCTTGCTATTTCAAATTGTTAACATTTTTTTTTTTTTTTTCAATAAACTTGTATAGAATATGAATAGCGAAATCACAATACAATCTGAATAGTATGACTATATTAGAGCAGATTAGAATCATTTTCTCTTGAGCGAAATGAGAGACTTTTGTATAACGTGATGTGTAAAAATGAAAGTCAGAGCACTCGTGGCGCGAGTGCAAGTGAAATATTTAGATCGAACGGCGGGACTCTGATTTCTGATGCATGAAGGCCGCGATCGTGTCTTCCTGTTCTGGAGAAATGCCAATTTTTCGCATTTAATGTAAAAATAGGTACAATGACGATTTTTTTCTTAAGACGTCAAAAGATTTCCGGTGTTTTACATATTTATTACAATGCGTTTAAGAAACTTGTACTTTATTTGAGAAGATTAAAAAACCAACGGCTTATTTTTAATTTTTTTAAAAATTAACATTTGATTTGTAATCAGCGACCACGAAAACCCCCCAGAGGGGAATAAATTCTTAAGACATTTCTCGAGGACAATTTTTGAGATTGTAATTGTTTATAATTTTTTATTTTAATCAAAGTTAACAAATTAATACAAATTTTTAAAAATAGTAAAATCTTTACAAAAATTCAATGATTTTCAAAACAATTTTAATTGAATTACTTGGAAGAATTAAAATATTTTTAAATATTTCCATAAATTTCAATTTTTTAATTAATTGTCCCTACTAATTTATTTATTCACATATTTGTTAAACACTTAATTAACTGTTTGTTTATTTATTTGTTTATAAATTTATATATCATTTTATTTTGTATTTATTCATTCAACAACTTTTTTACTCATTTATTTGTTTATATACTAATTTATTTGTTTATCTATCAATTTTATTATTTACCTATTAATTTATCAATTTATATATCAACTTTTATAAATACTAAAATTCTTTGCAGGAATTAAATTATTTTTAATCCAATTTAAATAAAGTTACACGAAAGAATTTAATTATTTTCCAAAATTTCCATAAAATTCAATTTCAACAAAAATTTAAAATTCTCTAAAAAATAATTCAATAATTCTCAAAATATTTTTAAAAAATTCTACATAAAAATTAAATTACTTTCAATGTAATTTTTATATATATATATATTCGTGAAAAAAATTGAAAGAATTCAATTATTTTCAAAAAATAATAAAATTCTTGTGATGAATTCAATTATTTTTAATATATTTAATTTTAATAAAATTCTTTAAAGAAATTCAATAATTAAACAATTTAATAATTAAACAACTTTAATTGAATTTCTCGAAAGAATTTCATTATTTTCAAATATTTCTATAAAATTCTTCGTAACAATTTAATTATTTCTTAAAATTTTAATAAAATCTTCGAAAAATTTCAATTATTTTTATAAATAGTAAAATTCTTCGCAATAATTCAATTATTTTTATAAATAGTAAAATCCTTTGCAGAAATTTAATTCTTTTCAAAACAATTTTAATATAGAATTTGTCCAAAGAATCGTAATGAGGGATTATGAAAAATAGTAATTATAGGTACTAAATTATAATTATAGGTAATAATTATTTACTAATTATACGAAATTAAACTAAATGTATATAGTAATTTTTTAAGAGTTAAATCAACTTTTTCAATATTTACCCTTCCTATTACCTTTGGTCAATTTTTCGACCATGTCACTATTTTTACGACCATTTTGATGTTTTTATGGAATATTTTCTGTTTGTAGACTGTTTGGTCTAAATATGATCACTGCATTAAAATCTACTTTAAGACCATAATATTTAGGTCAATTTTTATGCCCATGCTGTTCAGGTCTATTTTATGACCAAACGGTTAGGAATATTTTATTTCTTTTACATTTATTGTGTAATTAATCATTGTGTTGATTCTATTTAGGTCTATTTTTTGACCATACTATTTAGGTCAATTTTATGACCATATTATTTAGGTCAATTGTATGACAGTACAATTTAGGTAAATTTTATGATCACTGAATTAAGATCTACTTTAAGACCATAATATTTAGGTCAATTTTATGACCATAGTATTTAAGGTCAATTTTACGACTATAGTATTTAGGGTGTACTTTACGACTATGATATTTACGTTTATTTTATGACCATATAGTTTTTATTTATTTTTTACAATATTTTGTCTATTTTATCAGCATATTAATAATATTCAGGTCAATTTTATGACCATACTGTTAGCTGTTAGGTAGAAATTTATTTATTTTTACATTATATTGTCTATTTAATTTGTGGCATTGATATTATTTAGTTTTATTTTATGACGACAATGACAACTCTATAACAGATGGTCTAATGAAAATTAGTAAGTGGAATTATAAACTGACAAGCAGAAAAATAAATAGTTACCGTTTCCTATACACCTGTCCGAACCTATTGAAAAAAAAATATAAAATTTTAATTTAATCTAATTATACAACTTTCTCATATATGATGAGAGAATGTAAAAAAAACACTTTAAATCTAATTACTATTTTATACAACTTCAATTTACTTTTTTAACACGTAACTCGTAGATAATTATTTTCTAAAAAAGAGAATAAAAAATAACTAATTTTTTTCTTTTCGTTTTTTTTTGCAAAGCATAATCTAAATTTAGCATAATCTTGATTATTATTTATAATGCTAATTATTATTATTCCTAAATATTTTTTTTGTAATTTATTTATAATATTTATATTTATTTGTATTTAAAATAATTTATTTATAAATATATATTTATTATCAAGTATAAAATTATTAATAGGGGAATGTAGTCAAGGTTGGCCTACTGTCTAGGTAGGCCACTCGCGTTTTTTTGTCAAGTTCACTAGCGCCACCTACGCGCATTTTTGTCGAAGCTTGTCTTAGTGAAACCTAACTTTTTGTTCAATTACATTTTCGGAAAATCGAAAATTGTGTTTTCTGTGACGTCGGTACAAAAAAAGCTCAAAAAAAGTTTTGTGCATAATGTGAAAAACCATTAATAAAAGATAAAAAACAAATTGAATCGTCAAGGCAAGTATGCAGAAAATTTGTGGGACTCATGGTTGAAAGGAAAACAAAGTAAAAAATCGAATCCCGAAACGTATTTCTTTTTGTTTACAACAATTCGGTAATGTTACTTACTGTCAAGGTCGGCCACTATGTGTTTAAAATGCACAAAGTTGAGGACGAGCTACTTCATTTGCAAAAACTGCAATTCTGTATAACTCATAATATAATTGATCATCTTATTAATATTTTTATTTAATTTTATTAATATTTTAGTGCAAAACTTTTTTTTATTTATATTTATTTTTTTATATTGTTTATTGTTATTATTTTGTTATTTCATTAAGTTACAAACTGTAAACAATAAAGAATCAATTTTCCGTAACTCCAAACATGTTATTTTATTTTTTAACGATTAATGCCCTTTGAATTTTAAACATGGCCGACCTTGACTGTAATGGCCAACCTGGACTACAAATTTTTTTTTTTTTAAATCTTTATAACTTTTTCATTTTTAAACCTGTCAATTTACTTTGTACAGAAAAAATGTTCCTATTAAACAGGACTTTCCAACCATATACTTCAATTGTCCAAATTCATTTTTAAAAAAAAGTTATAAACAAAAGTCAAAAAGGTGGCCGACCTAGACTATGTTCCCCTAAATATTAAATAATAAATATAAATGATTTTTAATTATTTGTAATTATTTCCTTAATTTTTGTATTATTTCTCCACTGTTTTATCAGTAGGAAAACTAAATTTGAATATTGTCATAGCCTCAAAAATAAAAAAAAATGTAGTTGGAAAAAATAAATTTTTCATTCCTTTGTTGTAAAAAAAACAATAATAATTCAATAATTTAAAATAGATTTCATAATATGGCGTTTTCTCTATTCTGATATTAAATTTTATTACATCGTTTATCCTTTTTATTTTATTCCCCCCCCCCCCCCCCTACAGTAAGGATTTATTTTTAATACACTGACAATATATATATTTTAAAATATACATTGTATTAAATGCGAAATATATTGGAAATATTATTTTTATGACTTCTGTAATTTGTTTATTGCAAAACTGAAATTAGTGAAATAAGAAAATGAGGAAAGAAAAGAGCAGAGAGAATATTGGAATTGTGCAAGAAAAAATTGTGCGTATTGCTTAGAGAAACAAATTTGAAACTATTTCGGAATTTTTTTTTTCTACAAAAAATAAAAGAAAATATTTCCATATTATTTAGGATAGTATTTTAAATAATAATTGGATATTGGGAAAGTAATTGAGTACAATTTGTGATTATTAAGTTTTATATATATTATATATATAGATATGTGTATATATTTCGTCAATAATAATAATATTATTTATATTTTGAATCTCTCGTCAGTTGGATATTATTTATAAACATAATCGGAAGCGTATAAAATGTATAAAATGTATAAATTGTATAAATTGTATAAATTGTATAAATTGTAATACAATAGTTACGATTTGTATATATTTATATAATTCGTAAGGTTCAAAAGGTAAAAACCTTCTGAAGGTGTTTTCCTTTTCAGGTTTCTTCCTTCTCTTCTTTTTTCTTCTTTTTTCTTCTTTTTTCTTCTTTTCTCTCTTTTTTCTTTGTTTCTCTTCTCTTTTCTTTTTTTTCCTTCTTTTTATTTCTCATTTCTTTCTTCACTTCTTTTTACTACATAATTTGTTTCCATGCATTTGCATTATGTCAAACTTAGGAGTACAAAAAACATTGACAATAGTAAAATTATTCACTATTTCAAAAAAAAAAAAAAAAAAAAAAATACCTCCGACATTTGGTTCTATACAATTCACAATAATTTTTCTAAATACAAGAATCCTCAAATGGCACGGAATTTAATATCATTTGAAAGAAAATGTCCTCAAAGACATTTTCTTTCGAATACCTACTAAATTCCCGATTTATTGTCTAGTATAATATAATTTTTTTCCTAAACTTCCATTTTTTAATCCTATTATTCTGAGAATTGGAAAAAAATTTTCCATCTCAATAAACAATAATAATATTGTAAAATATTAATTTTTTTGTATTCTAAAATTCCATGATTCAGTAATGTTTTTTTATTCATCAATAATAAGTCAAAAATTTTTTCATCAATTAAAATAAGAATGTAAAAAAAAATTATTTACATTAAATAATTTAATTATTTTTTAAATTTAATTATTTTTTAAATTTAATTCAATGGTTTAATTAAATAATTAAATAATTTAAATTAAGTAAATTTAAAATAATAAAAAAATTATCTGTAAAATTTTAGTCGATTTTTTCCACAAACATTACTTTGCAGATATAAAATTCAGTATCTAAATTTTCTTTTGCTCGTTGTTTTCTTTAATTTATTTTTAAAAATAATGATTAGAAAAAATTATAGAAAATATTTTTAATCTTTCTAAATCTGTATTAGTAAAAATTGAGTTTCAATTAGTCAAAATTGAGTCTAAATTCTAGTAAAAATTGAAACATAATTAGTTAAAATTGATCAACTAAGTTACATTGGTGAAAAAACGAAATAATTAAAAAAAGAAATGAAAAATTATGTAAAAAAACCATTTTCAGTCAAATTGGGTACATAGTCAAGGTTGGACCACCTTTTGAATTTTCTAACTTTTTTTTTAAATAAGACAATTGAGGTCTATTGTTGAAAAAATCCAGTATTTCATGTAGGATTCTTTAGAAAATCAATTTAGTATTTATAAGAAAAATCATTTCTTTTACTAAAATTAAAGTTTAAACGGTAAAAGTAAAAAAAAAGTAAAAAAAAAAATTTTTTAATTAAAAAAAATATAAAACGATAAGAATAAAAGAAAAAGTAGGAAAAATTCTTACCAAAGTGAACTAGTCGATCAATTTTTTACTAATTTAGATTTAGACAGAAAAGAAATTCAATTTACAAAAAAAAAATATCGAATAAAGGGTCAGAATTTGTGAAATTTTCACAGAAATTAGAAAGTATTTTTTTTTAAATCGAAATGTTGAAAAAACAGTTCTATTTGGCCTTTGGAATGTGTCCACCAAAAAACAGAAAAAATAATTTTTTTTGCAACTTTTTGAACGAAATTTTATTTTTCTTAAATGAATAAACCGATTTAAATGAACCAAACGGGAATATAAAGGGAATGAAATATACTTTCGTTCAGAATTAGAAAATTTTTAAAAAGTTTATTTTTTTATAATTATTTAATAAATTTTTTATAAACAATTAATTTTTTTTAATGTTCTAAGCCTTTTAAAAATTTAAAAAAAATATCAACATACTATTAAAACTAGAAGAAATCAAAATCCGTTGAGAAAATTTAGGAGCGGCAATTATTTAAAAAGTTATAATAAAAATTATATTGGCGCGGCGCAAAACTTCAAAAAAAATTAATTGTTTATAAAAAATTTATTAAATAATTATAAAAAAATAAACTTTTTAAAAAATTTTCTAATTCTAAACGAAACTATATTTTATCCCCCTTTATATTCTCGCTTGGTTCATTTAAATCGGTTCATTCATTTGGGAGAAATAAAATTTTGTTTAAAAAGTTGCAAAAAAAAAAATTGATTTTACAAAATTGATTTTATAAAAAAAAATTTTTTTTCCTGTTCTTTGGTGGACACATTCCTAAGGCCAATTAGAAATGTTTCTTCAAAATTTGGAATTAAAAAAAAAAAATACTTTTTATTTTCTGTGAAAATTTTGAATTCTGCCCCTAAAGTTTAATTTTCTTTTTCTTCAAAAATTTGAAAAAAATGGAAGAACAATCAATCTAATAATTAAAACAGAAAAAATTTTCTAACGACTTGTTGTTTCTTTTTCGTTAATTTTATCAATTTGTTTACTTTCATTCTCCTCATTATCATCATCGCGCATATAATAGACTTTACTGCGATAACTGTAAGCGCCTTTTTCATCCTCAACTATTGGTTTTGGAATGAACATTTTCTTTGGTTTGTAATTTATTCTATTTGCAATCACATAATAGGGAATTTGTGCTTGAAGATTGAGTAATTGTTGAATTAACGATGGCATAATATTATCATGTAATGATGAGTCTTGTGTCGATGAAATACTTTCGGAATTTTTCAATTGTTGTGGTGGTACAAATCCATATTGTGCTGTTGATGATGATGATGATTTTGTTTCTCCCTCATCTTTCTTGTATTCAATGTGTCCAATTTCTTTTAGTGGATATTTACCGTAATATGTTTTCTTTTTTATTATTGGATTTTGATAGTCGTTTGTTGTCTGTTTTGTTGCATCGTCTTTGGATGATGCTGATGATGCTAAGGATGGTGATGATGATGATAATAATGATGATGATAAGGATTGTGATGATAATAATGATGATGGTACTGATGATGATGATGATGATAATAATGATGATGGTGATGATAATAATGCTGATGATACTGATGGTGATGATGATAATGATGATGATAATAATGATGATGATGATAATGAAGATGATGATAATGACGATGTTGCTAATGATGGTGACAATTCCTGTTGAGTAGTGGCAATTCTTTGCGGTACTTGCTGCTGACTTGCAGTTTCTTGTTCGGCGTAGGAATATTGTCGAATTGGTTCATTAATTGCATCGTGATTGTGAATTGTTTCTTGACGTCTTTCGGCATTTTTTTCTTGTTCATTATCGTTGGATGATGATTCTTTTTTATCGTCAATATTCACCTCGACTGGTGTGTGATAAATGTAAACTTTTGGATCAACATAGGGACCTTGTGGTTCGTACATTTTGAAGATTAATTGTTTAATATATGTTGGTACCATTGAATATGGTTTGTACTCGACTGCTGGCTCAATTTGTTGTTGTTGCTGCTGCTTCTCTTGTTGTTGATATTGCTTCTCTTGTTGTTGTTGTTGTTGTTGTTGTTGCTTCTCCTGTTGATTATAATGTTGCTTCTCTTGTTGCTGTTGGTAATGTTGCTTCTCTTGTTGCTGTTGATAATGTTGCTTCTCTTGTTGCTGTTGATAATATTGCTTCTCTTGTTGCTGTTGATAATGTTGTTTCTCTTGTTGCTGTTGATAATGTTGTTTCTCTTGTTGCTGTTGATAATGTTGCTTTTCTTGTTGATAATATTGCTTATCTTGTGGATGATATTCCTGCTTTTCAATTGTCGATACTAATATTCTTTCCTGGGGGTTTGATGTCTTTATTTCCGGAACATGTTCCGTATCTTGACTCTTGCTTTCACTCGACTGAATATTTTCCAATTCGGAAGTCCATTGAGTGTAGGGTGCAAATAGCTTCCAACTCACTCTGTAGCCTGTAAATTAGGATTTTTTTTCACATAATCAACGATTAGAATAAAACAAATGCTTCTAACTTGGTTTTTTTTGTTTTTGGGTAAATTCTAGTTTTTAAGGGATTTTTTCTTATTTTGCAAATTTTTTCCAATAAAACCAAACTGGGCTCGATTCAATTATTATTTTGCAGACTTTTTAACTAAAATTCTTCCTTAAATCAATCAATTTTTAATAATTATCGAAAAAATCCTTTGACAATTTTTAAATTCATTTTTGTTTACAATCAAATATTTTTAATGATTATCGAAAAAATCCGTTGACAATTTTCAAATTCATTTGTTTACAATATATTTAATTTTACGAAATTTCAATTATTCGTAAATTCTTCTTCATTTAAATATACATTAGAAAATGAAAACTTCAAAAAATATAAAAGAAATTCAATTAAACTTTTGCAAAAAAATTAATTTCAAAATTCAATTATTTCTAAAAACTCAGGCTATATTGCTTTTAATATTCAATTATTATCTAAAATTTTAACTGAAATTCATTTTTAAATCAATTTTTATTAGAAAATTCTACTAGAATTCAATTATTTAAATACAAAAATAAATAATTTATTGAATAATTGAATGTTTCTGAAAATTAAATTCTCATAAAGAATTTTATCAATAAATTTTTTAAATAATTGAATTCTTTCGCGACGAATTAAAAAAAAAAAATTTTTTTTAAGAATAATTGCAATTTTCTATCATTTTATATTGAAAATTGTGTAAAAAATAATTGAATTCCTGTGAAAAATTTTATTTATGAAAATAATTGAATTCTTGCAACAAATTTTATTAAACATTTTTTTAAAGAATTGAAATCCTGTGAATAATTTCATTTGTGAAAATAATTGAATTCTAGGGAAAAATATTATTATTTATGAAAATAATTAATTTCTTGGGAAGAATTTTATTCAAATTTTTTTTAAATAATTAAATTTCTCAGAATTTTTTAAAACTTTTTGAAAATAATTAAATTCTATTTAGAACTTTCATTAATTGAAATCTGACGTTAAATTTTTTTAAATCTTTTTTAATAATTGAATTCCTTTGAAAAATTTCATTTTTGTAAATAATTGAATTTTTGGGAAGAATTTTATTAAAATTTCTCAAATAATTGAATTGCTTCGAAGAATTTTATTCTTTACGAAAATAATAAATTGAAATCCTGATAAATTTTTAATATTTATGAAAATAATTTAAATATGTTTGCGTAAAATTTTATTAAATTTTTTTAAAATAATTGAATTTAAATAAACAATTTTAAATAATTGAATTTTTTAAAATAATTAATTTCATTATAGTCTAAGAAAAGTACCATTAGAGTCATCGTATTGAATATGTCCCTGAGGTGCGCGCACAATACGTTGCGCTTCAGCTGCTGTTGCTGCTGCAACTTCTTCTTCTTCTTCGGCCGAGCAAAAAGCAACCAATAGAAACACCAAAAACGTCTGAAAATTTAAAAAAAATTTCTTTTTAAATTTTATTTCTCTCCATTGTCAATATTTTTCAAACTTTAGTTCTACTATTATTAATTTTAATCATAATAATAGTAGTAGTAGTAATAAATTATATTTTATCGTATTGTATCAAAATTGTATCGTATTGTTTCAAATTGAATCGTATTGTATCAAATTGTATCGTATTGTTTCAAATTGAATCGTATTGTATCAAATTATATCATATTGTATCGTAAGTAAATAATAAATAATTTATTTTTAATTAATTAAATAATATTTCATTATATTCAAGTTTTATTTTTGATTAATTCCACAATTTTTTCTAATTATAAAAATTTCACTTCCACACTGTCTGTCGTGTATTCTCTTATTTTAATACTGTAAATTTCACATAACTTCCGCGTTAGTTCCGGTATAAATATTAAAGGATATATAAACATATAAAACAACTACTCTAAATGCACTATCAGAATGTAATATCACTATTTAGAAAGTATATTTCTGTTCATCATATATAATTTCCATTTATTACTCGACATTTTTATTTATCAATGAAATTTTTTTGCAATATAAAATATTTCACTAAAATTCTAATATCGATAAAATTTTGTAAATTATTGTTTTGAGGGAGGGGGGGGGAGAGAAACAAATTGAACGCTACTTGTCTCGTAATTTGTAAAAAATTGATGTTGTAAATAATATTTAAAGACATAAGTTTTCATTTCTTTTTTTATAGGATTTTTTTTTTATTAATATGAGAGCTGATTAAAATTGTCTGATAGTTAATTAGTTTGATTATAATTTAATATTCAGTGAAATTTATTTATTATTACTGAATTGGTAAAGTTTATTTATTTTTTATTAGCATTAAAAATTAAAATATTAGTAAACTTAATTAAGAATCAAGTGGTAAATTAGGTAAATTTATTAAATAAGAAAAAATTTTGTAATCAAGCGAGAATTAATTGTCAATTAATTGAAAATTAATTTAATTAATTAAAAATTCATGTAATTAATTAAAAATTCATGTAATTAATGATCAGTTAATGTAGTTAACTATCAATTAATGAAAATAATTATCAATTAACTTAATTAATTATAAATTAATGTAAATAATTATCAATTAATGTAATCAATTATTAATTAATGTAATTAATTATCAATTAAAATAATTCATTGACAAATAAAATAGTTGATTAACAATTGAAATAATTATGTGACAAATAAAATAATTTATTGACAGTTAAAATAATTACAATTAAAATAATGAATTGCAAATTATAATAATTAATTGAAATTCAAAATAAATAATTGACTTTTAAAATAATTAATTGAAAATCTAAATACATCTATGTTCAGAAATTAGTTATTTATGGCAAAACTTAAATATAGAATGATTCACATATTTTTATTTTTTGTCGTTATAAACTTTTTTTTTATTTTCAAGCAACTTTCACAAGTTAAATTAATTATTTGTCAATAAAAAAAAATAAAATAATTTCACTTCTAAACCTAATTTAACTGAAATTCCACATCATAACTAATAATTTTATAATATTAATAATTATTTACTATTAGCTTCTTTGAAACCGTTTTTTCGAGTTTTTTTTATTTTTTTTTTTTTTTGCAATAATTAAATAGTAATATTTAACTTAAGAAAATATTTATTAAAACAATTATTCACTTCAGATTCAATTTGGATTGTTTTGAATTAATGAAAACGGTGCTAGTTAAAATAAAAGTTACATTAATAATTAAAAAACTTTTTTTAATGAATAAAACTTGTTTCAAAATTGATTCAATTAATAAAAAAATATTTAAACGAATAAAAATGATTTTATGAATAAAAATTGATGAGTGATTTTTACTTTAAAAAAAACTGCTTTAACTTGAAATATCGTTTTAATCAATAAAAAATGTCTTAATTATAATAAATTGTTTTAATTACGAAAAATTATTTCAATTCTTAAGTCTTAATTATAAAAAAATTGTTTTAATTACGAAAAATTATTTCAATTCTTAAGTCTTAATTATAAAAAAATTGTTTTAATTACGAAAAATTATTTCAATTCTTAAGTCTTAATTATAAATAAAATTGTTTTAATTACGAAAAATTATTTTAATTCTTAAGTCTTAATTATAAAAAAATTGTTTTAATTATGAAAAATTATTCCAATTCTTAAGTCTTAATTATAAATAAAATTGTTTTAATTACGAAAAATTATTTCAATTCTTAAGTCTTAATTATAAAAAAATTGTTTTAAGGGCATTTGAACCATGATGACGTCACAGATTTAAAACTAATGCTTTGCACAAACTGTGACGTCATCAAGGTTCAAATCCCCTTAATTATGAAAAATTATTCCAATTCTTATAAAATGATTTTAATTCAGAAAAAATTGTTTCAATTATTAAAACGATTTTAATTCAGAAAAAATTGTTTCAATTATTACAAATGATTTTAATTTTGAAAAAAGTAATTGTTTTAATTATTAAAAATGATTTTAAGTTAAAAAAAATGGTTTACACTTAATAAACACTGTTTTTAAGTAAGAAAACTTATTTTATTCAATAAAAAGAATTTCAAAGAAAAAATAAAATTTTTTTTGAAAAATTGTCTTAATTATTAAAATTTAATATTAAATGAAAAAAAAAAAATTCCGACACTCACTTGGAGTCTCATGATGAATTTTTTTATTTAAAATTGTGTGAAAATCCACGAAAACTTTTATCCTGATAGTTTGTTGTACACACGACGGTGGTTATTGACGAAGAAATCTGCAAACTCTGATGGTGGGTCTTCTATATAGGCGCAAGGAGTCTGTCGAGTTGATTGTAATTGGTGGAACGTTATAATGGTTGGCTACTTTTAAAGTCATTCCGCCTTTGGTAATAATAAATGTTTAACCCGCAAGCATATGCCTCCAAGGTATTAAAAAAAAGAGAGTCCCCCCCCCCCTTCTCCTTCGCCCCTTCCTACCATCTCTCAACTCTATTTGTACGAAGAAAATAATGCGTCCTTTAAATATGACGCAAGAGAAAAGTTGTAAAATTGTGAAAAAATTTTGTATACACACAAAACTTTACTCACCACACCCCCAAATCACAAACAAATGCATATATATATATGTAAAATGAAAAGCAACTCCAAATTTTCACGCGCGAAACAAAAAAAAATTGTTGAATTAATAATTTTTCTTAATTTTATTGGATAAAAAGTCAAAATATGGAAATTATATTTTTTTATTCACTAGGTAAAAAATTTTTATGCAATAAAAATTATTTTTCAATTTTGAACCTCAATTCAAAGTCATTGTTTGCAAAAAGAAAATATTTTAATGGTATGTTTGAAATTAGACCTAAAAAACAGTTTTTACCCTAAAATTGAGATGAAAAATCATTAGAAGGTTTCATTTTTTTTGTATAAAAGGTAAAAAATTAATTCATTGACCTGCATTTTTATGTTTATTCTTTTGACCTAAATTTTAAAAAAAGTGTAAACTTAGGTGTAAATTCGTGTAAATTTAGGTCAAAAATGAATGACTTATAAATTATTTAATGAATAATTTTACTTAAATATATCTAAATTAATTGAATTTTACAAGAATTGCGTTTACAATTTTCATAAATATATCAACTTCAAAAAGGTTTTAATGTTAAATTTTACAAATTTTCAATTTTGAATGAATTTAATTAGAAAAGAACTTAAATTTTTGAAAAATTTCAATAATTCAAATTCTTCTGAAATTAGGTCACATTTTTTAATATATATTTCATTAAATATTAAAAATATTAGATTTATAGAAGAATTTTAGTTAAAAAAAATTTTTTTAAAATTGAATTTTGGAAAAGTTACAAATAATTGTCGAAATTCAATTATTTTGAAAAATTTTATAATAAAATTCTTAGCAAAATTCTAATTTATTAAAAATTTATTCAAAATTTAAAATTTTTTTTTTTTTTTTTTTTTTTTCAAAATTTTAATTTTAAATAATATTTAAAATTTTTCTAAGAATTTTATTAAAATTTTTCAAAATAATTGAATTTTGACAATTACTTGTAACTTTTCCAAAATTCAATTTTTAAAAAAAATAGATTTTAAAAAAATAATTTAATAAAATTTTCCAAAAGAATTCAATTATTTAAATAAAAATCTAAATAAAGTTATACGCAAACATTCAATTATTTTCATAGATAATTAAAACTTCATAGTAATTCAATTATATTTACAATTTTTTACAAAATTTCTTCTCAATAATTTGAATTATTTTCATAAATTTTTCACATGGATTCAATTATTTTCATAAATAGTTAAACTCATCGCAAAATTTCAATTATTTTTAATACAAATTTAATTTTAATTCTGTTGAAATTATAGTTGAATTTCTTTAATATGTATTTAATGTTATTTGGAAAAATTTAAACTCAATTGTTTAAAATTTTTTTTAAATTCAATTGTTTTCAAGAACTTTAATAAAATTTTTTGCAAAATTCAATTATTTTCATAAATAACAATATTAATCACGAGGATAAAATTATTTTCAAAAGCAAAACAATTCTTTTCAGAAATTCAATTATTTTCAATTATCTTTATAAACAGCCAAATTCTTCGTTGGAATTTAATTATTTAAAAAAATTTAAATAAAATTCTATGCAAACATATTTAATTATTTTCATAAATAATAAAAATTTACGAGGATTTCAATATACAAATTTTTTCGCAATAATTCAAATATTTTTATAAATAATTAAACTTTTCTCAGGAATTTAATTATTTTCATAAAACAATTCGTCGCAGGATTTTAATTATTTCTGATAGGTACAATTTTAATCAAATTCCTCGAAAAATGTAATTATTCTTAAAATCTTTATTAAAATTCGTCAAAAGAATTCAATTATTTAAAAATGTGTTGATAATTAATTCTAACAAACATTCAATTATTCAATAAGTTATATATTTTCGGATTTAAATAATTGAATTCTCGTAGAATTTTCTAATAAAAAAATTTATCTAAAAATGAATTTCCGAATAATTAATTTATTATTTATGAAAATAATTAAATTCTTGCATCGAATTTTATTAAACTTTTTTTCAATAATTCAATTCTTTTGAGAAATTTTACTAATTGTAAAAATAATTGAATTCTTGCGAAGGATTTTATTAGGATTTTTGTAAATAATTAAATTTTTTTTTTGAAAAATTTTATGGCAATTTAAATTATTATAAAACATGAAGAAATTTATCACTCTGAGTCGAATTGATATCTTCATGTTTTACAACAAAATTTTGATAAGTTTTTAATTTCCAAATGTTAAAATTGAAACTTTTGAAGAATTTTAATTCGTATGGAAAAATAATAATGATTAAATATTTATTTAAAAAAGAAGTTATGGATGTTTGCGAATAATTTTACAATTGAAAAAATTTGTAAATAAATGTAATAGAAAATATTTGTGAGCATCTAATAATTTTTAGAATGAATCAGAATATTCTTTAGGGTCAGGGAAAAAGTTAAAATCAGTTGGGAAATCAGGGAAAAGTCAGGGAAAAATAAAATTAAATATATTTGTGGCAACCCTGTTGATTATTTCCGCCTCTTTATTTATGAATTGAACTGAATTATCAAATTAGAACGTTTATATTGCATTATTGCGTTAGTTTTTCTAAATTCTTGTAACAAATATTGTAGAAATATATAGATGTATATGTTTTGTTCTTTTAAAATGAACTAAAAGTTTATTACTGAGAATAAAAATACAATTTTTGTCATTAAATTTTATAAGACAAAGTCTTGAGTCTTGAGCCTTGAGTCATAAAATACAATGTATTTTTAGGAAGTCATTATCATTGTCCATTCTTGGTAAACATGCGTTTTAGTGGGCGCAAATATAGAAAAACATGAAAAATAAAGATAATAACGTTCAATAAGTAATAGGAGAATTGCACATTTACACCCAGTTGAAAATTAGAATCTTGTTATAATTTTATATACTCTTTCAACAACTTTAATACTTTAAAAATAAAAAAAAAATAAAAATGAGAAATAATAATTCCATTTATGCGAATTGTTCAGTTTTGCCTAAACTGTATTTTTAGGTCAATGGGGAATTTTATTTAAAAATAGAAATATACAAAGAAAATAATTTTAACATTAAAAAATCGTTTTTTTATAAAATTTTATATTAAATAATTTTTTGACAAATTAAATTATATAAAATTAAATAATAATATCAAATATATAATAATATTATTATATAAATATTGAATAAAAAATAAATTTAATATAAGAATTATTTTGAATAAAAATCTTTGCTAGGTTGAAAATGCTAAAAAATAGCTTGGATTTCAAAATCTACTAATTGTTAAGTAAAATAAAAATTCGATTTCTCGAATTTTTCGACCCAATGGTCTTCTTAAAAAATTACATTAAAAATAATTTTTTGGAATTTTTAAATTATTTTCTTGATGTAATTTAATTATTAATATTTAATATTAATTATTAATTATTAATTAATTAATTTAATTATTTAAAAAAATATTAACAATATTTATTATTATTATTAATAAAAAATTTAATAAAATGATAATATTAAAATATCACTGATGAGTTGCTATTAAAAAAGTTTAAAAAAAAGTACAAGATCTTTAAAAAGTAATATTCTTATTTTTAGAGTTTCGTATATTTAATTAAGATAAGTGAGAATAGAAATTCTTAAATGGTAATCAACATTTTTCTCTCTGTAAAGTTTTAAAGAGTCAAAAGAACACATATATAATCATTTATTATATGAACCTTAAGGCGTAAACTATATTAACTATATATACATGCATACGAAACTAAATGGACGTTGAAAAACACAATTACCTTAAAATACTTTCATTACATACAATTTAAAAGAATAAGAAACAAAAATCTCTAAAAAGAAAGAAAAACCAAAATTACATTTAATTTTAGACTTTTAGTATTAAAAATACAGTGCATAGTTTTTAAAAACTCTAATTATAAATTGTAGACAGGCGCAAAAAAAAAAATATATTACACTATATACAAAACACTTTAAGCGCAATGTATATCTAATATCCGAATGCATAAGCCATAGATATTGAGCCGCATTATTGACAACTTAATTTGAATAAAAATTATTTACATTTCACATTTGTGAGTAATATAGACCGATAGAAAAAAAAAATATAAAAACTTTCAACACTCTCTCTTTCTCTAATCATTGGGGGAAATTTTTAAAACAGTTTTTTTTTTAAAACATTATAGCCATTTATTTATATATTTTTTTTCTTTTTCATATTATGTTTATATATATTACATGACAAAAAAGATGTACAATAACATTATTATTGTATTTTAAATATACAGTTATGAATATTTATTATTCATATAAAATTTATATGGAGGAAATGTGAAAAAAAAATTTTTTTTTTGTTCGAAACTTCACTTGTACGCAATTTTCTTATTATTAAATAATTTAGAGACTTTCAATTACAAAATATTTACGTAATAAATAGTATCATTATTTCACAAATTTGTACGTAACCGAGAAAAGATGCTGTTGAAGTGCAAATGATATTTATCAGTTTCATTTAATGGAAAATGCTTTTATTTTTTTTTAAAAAAACTTATTCTATTTTTGTAAAACTCTCTGAATTGAAATTAGTAAAAAGTATTTATTAATTTGAATTAGTGACTCTTTTTTTTGCTCTTGAATAAGTCAAATTTACTAATAAGTTAGTTGAAATTACTATTTATTGGAAAGATTTACTTATAAATTATTAAACATTACTAT